GGCGTACACACTGATAGACAGACACACCTGGGAGCTACACTACGCACACATGCCCCACTCGAGGTGGACGTGTCTAACATCTATGGGTTGTCCTGCTAAATAGTCTACGTAATTCGCATTCCGCAGTTAACTTGTCTCTTCCTTGGGCTGATGGATGTTGTGATTCCCTGCATAGTATATGTTAAAGGGATATCACTGAGGTATTTCGGGGAATATAAAATGATATAAAAAAGTATTTGTTGCTAGCCTGAACAGACTGGTTGAGTGTAGAAAATGTTATTTAATGTAACTAGACCCATGTACGATGGGAATATTGGGCAAACTGCAACCTATTCCCAAAGGTCTGCTACCAATACCGATATACGGAATATATTTGGTATGAATTTAAGATATTTAAGACGAAAAGTACGGCTTCTTAAAGTGATTAATTTTAGTGAACAGTCAGCAAGTGTGTGTTGTGCTTTGTTTATGCTAATTTCAGGACTAGACTCGTCAAATCTAACTGTCCCTCCTCGGTCAGGTCGCTTTACCATTAAAACCTTTAAAAACGGTTATGTTTAAATGATACAGAAATGGAGGTAGGGATGCAGATGTAGGTCGCTGACGCAGCGGCCTCAATTTTGGTATTTGGCGTTCTCTTCTCCCTCCTGCGACGATTTGCATTGATATGTTTGCACAGCGCTCCGTGCGAGTTTTTCCACTTTTTATGAAGGTGCGGATGTCCTTTGTTCGCCTTCCCCCTGTATGTATGTGTGTGTGTGTGTGTGTGTGTGTGTGTGTGTGTGTGTGTGTGTGTGTGTGTGTGTGTGTGTGTGTGTGTGTGTGTGTGTGTGTGTGTGTGTGTGGTGTGTGTGTGTGTGTGTGTGTGTGTGTGTGTGTGTGTGTGTGTGTGTGTGTGTGTGTGTGTGTGTGTGTGTGTGTGTGTGTGTGTGTGTGTGTGTGTGTGTGTGTGTGTGTGTGTGTGTGTGTGTGTGTGTGTGTGTGTGTGTGTGTGTGTGTGTGTGTGTGTGTGGTGTGTGTGTGTGTGTGTGTGTGTGTGTGTGTGTGTGTGTGTGTGTGTGTGTGTGTGTGTGTGTGTGTGTGTGTGTGTGTGTGTGTGTGTGTGTGTGTTTGCATATTTCTTGCGCCACAAAGTATACGGGGGAAACGCAAAAGCAAATTGTACGCAGCCAAACAAACACAAGCCGAAAAAGCTGAAAAATGCGAAAGGGAGTCAGTAAATTTCCAATCAGCAGCCGAAGGAAGTTTCCTCCTTTTCACCAGTCACAGTCCTGAAAATTTTACATTTTTTATCATTTCCCATGATGGGAGTGAGGCATAACAGGGTTTCCATTTTCAAGAGCCATATTTATTTAGCGACTGGGTAAAGCCAAGGAACCCAGCCGCCTTTTCTGCCATTGCTTTTGGAAAACAAATCCATGCTGATGCCACAAACGATTTGAGCACCAAACACAAGAGGAATTTAAAAAGGTATTTGGCATGGGCAATTTAACTCAACGACAGCGATATAACGTGCGCAATTAACTAGAAGACAGTCGGGACAATTGCTAACTTCTGAAAACCAAGTAAGTAGTCCAACCGCAGAGTTTGATTGAGCTAAATCTGCAAGTAGAAGACTATAAATTGTATCAAAAGATTCACCAAACTATTTGGTATCCATTTGTTAATGCCTAGCTAAAAGAAAGTGCTGTGATTCGACGACTTGAGGTCTTAAATAAAAGAAATGACGTTAAAGTTCATTCATTCATTCCATTCCATTCTAAATGTACCAAGTAATGGTAATATAGTATTTGGATTCACACACCTCGATGCAAAAGTGTACCTGATGACGATTCAATTAAAAAGATCAAGAAATTTATAATTTTTGGTAGTCGAGATTCGTGTTTAGACATTTGGGTCAAGTATGGGGCGACTCGACTAATCCCAAGATGCGAATTAATGGAAACACTTGGAAGGAGGATTTTCTTGTCATACACACATCGAAATTTGGGTCCGTTCATAAGCCAGCAAACAAAAAAGCGATATTTACAAAAGATTTCAATACCGTCAGAGGATTTGCAGAAATCCCTCGGCTTTTGTCGATTGCGCTTCATTACATTGTTAATTGAAAGTAATTGCATTTCAAAGTGATTTTGCCGTTTTAAAGGTGACCCTGACGGGGAAAGCTTCCTTTTTTGCGACGGCAGGAAGCGGAGGGGCACCCTTAAAAATATATAAAGATACTCACGCCCACACCCACACACGTTGTTGGATTAGGGTTTGAGCTTAAGTTTGAGTGTGGGTCGTCGTTGGGCCTTCGAAAAGAGCAGACAAAGGAAAAGGTTCTGTTTGGTCCGGTTCTTGGCCCTTGGATTTTTAAGGATGGGGTTGGCACGCCAGCACGTGCAACGCCATTAAGCAGAAAACTCGTAAAACGGCAATGGCAAACCCGCCTTGTAGATACAATTTGGGATTAAGCATGTTGCTGCCGTCGCCACCACTTGAAGGAACTTCAAACTTTTGGCTCACTCGGATCTCGTATGTTAGAAATGGGAACGCGGAACTGGGACCTGGTAGCTCTGTGTTTGATTTAGATTTTTGTTTATTTTTTTTACGCCGTTGCCGTAGTTGTGCATCTGCCAGTACTAGTACCAGTACCAGTGCCAAGTTACCATTATCATTGGCCATCGCCCAGGGCCATTCGTATTGCTGGCGCCAGGGAAGTTCGCTTCCCTGGTTTTTTTGCTTGCTTAATACTTTGTTTTTGCTTTAAATATATGTATATTTGTTTTATTTGTCCAGACCGAAAGACTTGGCCTGGTCCTCGTCCTTATTTTTGACTTGTGCCAGACTCGCTGGTGTCGCCACTAGTTCGTTGCACTTTCTAAAACCTATCGTCGTGGTGGCCTTCTGTCCCAGTATCGCAGTTCATTGCATTTGAGCTTTTCCGAACTGAAATGTAACTAAGCCAGGAGCAATAAAGGGCAGAGAGCAGAAAGTGTGCAAAGTGGGTGTACTTCGGTGTACCTCTCACGACCATTTTTCCACGAAAATTATGAAGCATTTCCCCTTCACAAAACTTATTCAGCATGAACTTATCCAGCGCAAGCACGGGCTTGTTAATATGGCTTTTAAAGCTTAAGGTTGGTTCACGACTGGGCTCAAAGCCAAAGCTTTTGTTAGCTGTAAATTTGTTAAAAACATGGCTTAAAAAGCAAACTTTAAGCCATGATCTGCTATGAAGAAAACCTTTAAAAAACGTATTACATTTATCCGCAAAGTACGTTTATTCCTATAAACCTTCTGCAACTATAATAAGCCCAAAAATAGGTCCAGATATATTCGCTTTATACCCTTCAAAAAATTCAAAAAAATTAGGTAAAATAAAAATTATTTTGAATAGTTAGTTTATTTTTTAATTTAATAAGTTTAAGGTTATTAAGTGGTTCAGGTTTTCAAAGCCAAACCCAAATTACAGCTAATTATCAGATGTTTGCCTAGAGTCGGGTACCATATTGCAGATATTATTGGCCATTGATTGTATAACCGATGATCACCAACGGAACATCTATGTATAAAATCCACATGGGAGTCGGTTGCCGACTCATGTTGCCATCGAGACAGGTTGCCACATTAGCCGATAGTTTCGTGGATGAAGCAACACTCGTAGGAGAGTGCCCCAATGGATCCATCACCAATGAATCCAACTTACACAGCTTCAGCTGAAAGGGGCTGGGATTGCAATTTTTCATTGTGGTTTTATTGTCGCCATAGCATGCTAGCCATGTGGACAGCTCTCCGCAGTATACCAGGCATAATTCACAGAGGACGTGACTTCTCGGTATGGGTGTCCCTTAAAGAGTGAATTTTGCGGAATTATTCAAGAAGTGTATGGAAATGTGGTACTCTAATGCATTGTTAATTAGTCAGAGGTTTCTTCTTAAGTATTTTAAGCCCATCCCATTCCCAATCTACTCATAGATCTCCAACAGAGGTGTATTTGGTTTTCATTTCCAACTTAAAGTGCGATCCACTGTGCTGGACCTCCATTGTTGTGCAACTGCACTTCGTTCAGTGAGCAGACCGACACTTCTTTGATTATTGTCCAGTGGCTGCAACAGGTTCTGGCGTTTAATTTTTGAATATTTCCACGAAACGTATCTTGAGTTTCCCCTCTCAAGGGTTCCGAATGCACAGTGGGCTCACTTCTAATTGCTCTGACAGCCACTCACTTTCGGTGTCTTTGCCTATGTCCGTGGCTGAGGATCCTTTTGCAATCGCACTTCCCACCCGGCGATTGCCAAAGACTGCTTCTGAAGTCGCTGTGTGTTGTTCGGGTCTCCTTGGCAAACACCACGTAATTAAACTGCCTTCTGCTGGCCGCGGGCAATTGCTTAGTTTGCATTTGTCTTTCGCAGAGCGGCGCTTCAGCCAGTTGGGTTCGCAGACACAAAGATGAATAGATAAGCAAACGGGGAGATGGATGGTTGTACTCTAGCCAAGAGTCTCTTAGTCGAGAGAAGACGAGACGAGACGCCAGATGGACGGTTGAACAGTCAGTCAGGGCAACTTTGGGAGGCGGACAGAGATGAGAGTCGCGGCTTCTTGGAATTCTAATTGAATTTTCAAAACTTTAAGTAGGCAGCAGTTGACAGCACGATCAAATTTGACTTAAGGGTCAAAGAATTCTTGTATGTGATTAAACGAGCCCGCACCTAATGAAGGTCTTTTGAATATGACATTTGTAGTTTATTAATATTAGTCATTATGAATTAAGAAAAGAGATGTTCTGTCTTTAAGATTAAAATCATAGCTAAGCCAGAAGGATTTGTACACGTTTTTCCCAATTCTAGGTATGGATTCAATTTTAAGAACACAGATTAAAGGGTATATATGTTCTGGGTTCCGACTATGTACGGAAGCAATGTTTAACTTTCTTCTCGCCTGCTGTTTGAAATGAACGAAACCAATTTGCATTTCACTATTTTCAAAACCAAGTTGCTATGCCAAAACTGTCAGTATGTTGGCTAGCCTGCCTCCAGTCACAGGGGAAAAATTCAGAAGTAAATTCGTCGTCTGTGAACACACAAAGACACACCAGAAAAATCGGAAAAAATTCCACCAGAAATCTTAACAAAATTTCTCTGATTCGATTTCGTTCCGACAAAAAATTCCTTTCGGCCCTAACCAGAAAAAGCTTGTGCAATAGAAACGAATTGGCAACCATTTTCCGTCGAGTGTCGAGTGTGTTTGTTGAATTCATATCGCGTTAAGCGCTTCTTGTGTTACAGGTGAGCTACTGCTTAGTTTCGCTTTGAGTAAGGCCTATAGTCGAAGATCATTGATCAAGATGATTGCATTCTGCATTGTTGCGATCTTTCATTTAACCGCAAAGCAATCTGCGGTCTGCTTTAGGTTTTCATGCTTGAATTCCTGTCAATAACCATGCTTTTCCACGTCGTCCTGCAGCTGACTTGGCCTTTTGGGACAATATGTGTGCCTGTGGCTCGTCGCTCTCCAATAGCAAGTGATCGATAGAATACAGATAGGCCCGATCCGGTCCAGACCTCCCAGACAGATTCCGCTGAGACAGCCTGCTCCAGACAGCTCCCAGCTAAAGAAACCGCCTAGCCGCCATGGGTAAGAAAGGCAAGGGAAAAGGCAAAAAGGGCAAAAAGGGTAAGAAGTCTGTTATTGCGGCGCCGGTGGAGGCGCCACCGTGTCCGCCATGTCCGGAGCTGCCAAAGCAGATGCAGCCACTGGACGTGTGCCCAGAGTCCGCCGGGCCGCACGATGTGCACCGTGCGCAGCCGAACCACTATCCGGCCCTGCTTCGCATCCCAGAGACGATGGCGGTGGTGGGGTCGGAGAACGGGTGCTACGATAGCATCTGCAAGCTTCTCAGAGCCGGCTTCCGGTGCGCGGAGCGTGTTTTCGTGATGGCTCCGTGGGGCAACTATGTGGTTTTCCGCTACCATAATAACAATGACTTCATATACTTCTTGTATGACGGATGCACTTGCGACGTCAATCGATTCCGATACCTGGACCTCAGCTGCGGCACTGCCGGATTCCTTTTTATGGAAGCCCTGCATGACGTTATCAGCTACATCCTCCAGTCGCGGAAGACGCGTCTCTATCTGGAAAATCTCAACAAGATCGCCATCGATCAGATCGTCGAGGAGTATGGCGCAGTCACATACACCCAGAAGTCAAAGTGCATGCGGTTCGCCTGAGGTGGATGATCCCCAACTTTTGATCCGAAAAGGTATCCCAACATAAGAATTCGGAATGAAACCAACCCGTTAACCATTCGAATTAAATGCTTTGCTCGACACGACAAGGCCAGGCCATAACCCTCCACCACCGCAGTAAATTACAGTGGATTATTACAGTAAATAATTTAAATAATTTGGATAAGCCATAAGCATTTGTTTTATTTATTTGTGCTTGTCAAAGCAAGTTACTGGTGTTGCACTTAATGTAATTATACACATGGTGGCTTACTATTTAAGGAGATAGAAGAGCTCATTTCTTTCCGGTACCGCTTTGCTTTTTATAACCTTGCAGGGTATTAAATTTTTAGTCAGAGGTTTGCATCGCAGTGATGGAGTCATTTCGTATCATTTGGTATATATATTCTTGATCAGCATCAACAGCCTAGTTGATCCGTTTCCAAAAGAACTAATCTCTTCATTTTGAAGCTATCCGAATAAATCTTTGCAGTTAGCCATATAGAAGCCTCTAACTAATATAAATTATATATGTATATGCCATAGACACGATACCTAAATGCTAATCTCCCTCTCTGTCTCTTGAGATGCATCTATTTCTATATTTCCCTCTGAGTGTCTCTAGAGGTATACCTTACTCTCTCGCTCTCCCCTTCGCTGTTCTCTTTATCCGTAGAGTATATTTTATTTTATTTTGTACACTGTAGGCAGAAGTTCCAAACTTAGGCTACAGGGATCGGCCATAACAGCGGAGATTTTCGGCCGGAATAAGGTTTACATGATTTGGTTAAATAAATATAGAGGGTTCTTATAAATGTATTAACAGTTAATTGCACATGGATTATTTACAAGTAACAAATGACAGATATTTTATGAGGAAAGTGATTGGTTTATATACGGTGTAATTAGAGCCACTGCCGTTGCTTTGGCCTCATTCTGTTGCAGCCTTCCGACTGTTAACTTCTTTAGTGAAAGTGGTAGTGATTGCAAGTGCCCTTCCACCACAAAAATTATTTGCAAATTGATATTAATGCATCTTTGGCTTAGGTATGATAGATTTAATATTCAAACCCATTTTCTTGTTCTCGAAATCCCCATTTGGAACCGACCCTAGCATTCGACCCCGACAGATTTCAGTTCAGGGACGAGATCTGTTCGACATTCACATCTATTGACTGGCAGATGATCAGCTCATCCCCCAAAGAGCATGTATCTGTATTTGCATTTGCATTTTGATCTAATGTTACACCGGGGAAAAAAGAAACTTGCTAAAATTAATAATGAATTATCAGGCATAAAATATACTCGTAAACTTCTTGATCAATTAAGGGAACAGACGTCTGCCATGGGAACTTATCTTAAACAGAAGTGTTCTTTCCAATTGTGTTAAAATATTTCAATTTACATTTTCTGTGGGGATGCTATATTTTCGCTGTTTACCTGTGACTGTATTCATATGTTTGGCTTCGCTGTCGATGCAAGAACAACCTTGGGGCATTTAAAGCACAGCGTGCATTTTCTGGGACTGGGGCAGGGAGGGACGGATGGCTGCGTTATGTAAAACCTTAATAAATAATTATCGAAAAGCGAATGCCGAGCAAAAAGCGGCATGCACTAAACACTGAACTCTGCGATCGCATTTGGTTGGGCTAATAAACAAGCAGCCGGCAACCGTATTGAGCATTTGGAGCAGTCGCGCTCAAAGCCTCTGTCTCTTGCAGAGATCGGCGAAGACCGAGACCCCCAGATTAAAGACAGATGAAATCCAAGCCGAAGTGCTATGTTCAACCAGATCAGCCCCATCAGCAACAGAAAATTAAAGAGAAACAGATAAACCTACGGCACATACAAAAAAGTTGTGTGCGGAAATGTGTGATTTTCGAAACTTTCAATCGTGTTTGTTTTGAGTTCTGTTACCAGAAAGAGGTTAATTTTGGTTGTACAAAAATAGCGTTAGGTTTTTCTGTTAATAAAGACAATAATGCCGGACACATTTATGTATTAAACAAGAAAATCTCGAAACTAAACATATTGATATAAAATAATCGGTGATTTCTTGCCATGTAGCAGCATCATGTTTTGAGTTGAGCTCGTTAATTAAAACAACAAACGCTGTACACACAGTCGACCAAAGACCCCATTTGAAGACAGAAGACTGCAATCAGAAATCAAAAGACTCCATGGCAGAGACCTGAGATCACAGTGCGAGAGCAAGGGTACGCAGTACCAAAGAACTTGATTGTGATATTCGATTTTGAGCATCTCGAAATCAACGCCTGCACCTAGTGCGTCATGTCTGAACACTGTTAAAAACGCATTTTAATTGCTTCTCTTTGCCGCTTTTTGCACCGCCGAAACCTTTATGACCATCATCAAATGGCAGGCACTAGCTTCTCTTTCTGTTCTGGCACTCAAATGGAATCGCAATGAGAATGAGAATTCGAATGCAAATGCGAATGCGAATCAGATGCAGACAATGTCAAATGTTTGCCACTTGATTTAGATGAAGAGATACGGCTGACATGCGCACGAATAACTTGATTATGGGGTAACTATAGGCAATCAGAAGTTCTATCCGAACCGATCCGATTCGAGAAAGAGACTGGGACTGGTTCTGTATAGTGTTAACAACATTTTCAATTGATTTCCAAAATCTTCTTTATTAACTTCGGAACCTTCATAAAAAGGCATTAAGCTTAAATTATATATGTTAACCTTTTAATTGTTGATGTGCCCAAATATTTAGCGTAAAATAAGAAGGAAAAATTTTTTTCCTAAAATTTTCCAATCTGTCGTGAGTCTGAAATTAGAGGGGAGGAAGCTTAGAGCCAGGAGAAGGAGTTTTTGTTTATTTTCTTACAGTAGCAGTTGAAGAGCTGCTATTTATCAGAAGTCATGTCTATGTTTTATTTTAGTAATCTTTGACGTGACTGGTAATCAACCGGTGTTGTTTGTTACCGATATAGACATAAAGAATGTTATGCCGCGACCAAGAAAATCAAATCTTTCAACACGAGACCGTGAGGCAAGTAGTTGGATGTTGGCCTAGTACATTTGCGATCTTTAGGCAATACTTCAAGTGAATTTTCCATGCAAAAGGGCTCTCTAAACTTATAGACCCAAATGGCGAAGATTCTTAGCAATATGAAAAGGCTTAAGTTCAGAAAAAAGCCTATCCAGGACATATATCAAGAACCGAATCCATTCAGTAATAAAGTGCAGCTTCTTATTTGCTTAGAGTTTTTGAAAAACTTATGTATTATGTTCGGTATAATGTAAAAGACTACGACTAGGAATTGATTCTTGTGGTGTGTGGGCAGTGTGTGAGAAGCGATTCGAGTTTAAATGAAGAGCCGTACCTCAGGGTATCGCACTTTCCAGCCTCGCAGAAATTGTCGCAATCTGGATCTCCAATGATGAGAATGTTCGAGCAATTCTTGATGTGCAAAATTTATGCAGTTGTTCTGCGACAGCCAACACAGTGTCGTATCATATGACAGCGAAAGATGCCTTCTGATAGGTCTCCTCTGGATCAGGCAATGCGAATTTACAGTCCACTTCAAGTCAGTCACGTCAGTCAATCATTCAATGCAGAGGAGAGGTGTCTCCCGGAATGCAAAATCATGGAAAAAACAAAATAAATAAACGATTGAACGCGATTGCGACTGATGCAGAAATACTTTGTTGACACTTTATACTTTTTATACCTTAGCAAGTTATAAAACTTTTAGTCAGAAGTTATTGAAGTTATTGACCTTTAACATCCGAATCGATTTCAAAATATTCAATAGTAAACTCGATATTAATTTATTTTAATTCAACGAATTCGTATAACTCGAAATATTGTTCTTTTATATTTATTTTCCAATCCAGTTTTTAGTTACTGAGGCTTTATCCAAGCTTATTTGATTAGATTGTGGAGTTTGCCATCTACATATAAGGGTATAAAAGCTACGGCTTCCCAAATTCCCCTCGATCAATTTTAATTTTACCTTGCCATTTGTGGTTTTTCTATCCTTTTTGATGAGGTTTATATATATATTTTTTTATTATTTTGTTTGCCTGCGTAGGCGTTGCGCATAATTTGCCTGCGTACAGCTTGGCTCGTGTTGTAGACAGCTTGACTGGAACTTGAGACTCGCTTAGTTTCCTCACTTCAAGTCCCATTCGAGAGAGAAGCAAATTGCTTCCTGATTTGTGCGTGCCATATATGCCACACGAGTATGTATAAATGGGGAACAAATTGAAGCCGTGCATGCCACATGCTCCAAGCTGCAGGACAGTCTCTTCCCCTATGAAGAAAGCCATTGGTCACTGTTTTATACAAACCAAAGCTTATAACTAAGCCAAAAATGCATTAATTTCAATACGGAACCCTGTTATATGGTTATAAGTAAGGTAATAAATCTACATACTCAGTTTGAAATGTAGAAAAATAAATATTAAAAAAAAAAAATTGTTTAAATAACGATGTAATTCTTTTGGAAAAAATGGCCAAAAAATTAGTTTCTCTCTTTTATGCCTAGAAAGATTCGCCTGTCGATGCTGATCAAGAATATACATAGTTTATAGGGTCGGAAATGACTCCTTCACTGCGTCGCAAGCTTCAGACTGAAATCAAAAACCTTGTATATTCGCATTCTATGTCAATATTTTGAACATAATATTTTATAAAAACCAAAGCTTAAAAAACTCATTAAAAAAATATCAGGCAGGTGAAAATGCAAGGGAGTGGGCCAAAAATTGGCACAATTTGGTGTTGCACTCCAAGCAGGAAGAGCAGGAGTAGATATGCAGGATATATAGTATATATATTTACACGACAGTAAACAAAAGAACGAAAGGAGCAAGGCCAAAAGCCAAGCCGAACTTAATTGCTAATTTATCATAAGGGAGAGAGATGCTATAATGGTTTTGGGTTTTGTAGAGGAAGTTGCGATCTTTTATTATTTAAAAATTCAATGTAACCCTAAAACATTAAGCCCCGTTCATAAAAAATTCAAATTGGCGCGCCCGAGGCTGAAAATGGAAGTTTGTTTTGAAAGTGGAAGTGGCAACACTGCCGTATTACCCCCCCCCCACACACACTGGATAAAAGCAGAGCCGTACATTTATTTTACTTTCTACCTGCGAATTTGTCGCCATGTATCAGAATTATACACCAAAAGGCGACAAATCTACCTGATGTATCTGT